GCCCAAGCTGGAGAGAGAGAGAGAGAGAGAAAGCAATTGGAGTTTGGGAGAAAGAGCGTGAAGATCTCTAAGCGCTGCTAATCCCTTCGAACCCAGCTTTTTTTTTTCTCCTTAAGAGGGCAATAGAGGGCCGATTTACGGAGTCTTAACAACTCCGGGGGACCTATTTACCGAACCCACGGAGCTTCAACCACTCCGGGGGCCAAACGGCCTCTAGCCTCTTCCCGTCGCCGAGCGCAATCCTAAGACATATCCCTTTCCTTTTGAAACTACCGAACCCGCGGAGCTTCAACCACTCTGGGGCCAATTACCGAGCTGAACCCGCAGAGCTTCAACCACTCCGGGGCCAATTTTCGGAGTCCTCTAGCGAGGATTTAAGCGGAGCTGAGCCTGGAAAACTGTCCAGCCTACACCACGACCATCTTTGGTGTAAGTAAACAATCTTTTAATCAACCATTACGCGTCCGTACTTAATTCTAGCTCGCCACCGGTCTTCTTCGACCCCGCGTGCCCGGGCTGCTGGCCACAGCCTGCGTGCACAAAGACGGGTTCGCATACCGCTTCTAGCCCACACATGGCCGCATGGATGGGATTGGGAGGCGGCCCGCACACTTAACACAAATAATTTTGATGTCATAAGGATAACGGAGACCTGGTAGAACTACTCCACCTATGACAGGGCCACAGGTATAGATGGCTATATCCTGTACAGGAGAGATCAAGTGGACAAAAGGGCTGAGGGTGTAGCTCTCTATGTCAAGGAAAGCTACGCATCCTTGCAAGCCGACACTGGCACCCAGGGTGAATGACTGGAGACCCTCTGGGTTAAAATCCATGGGGAACATGGCACAGGGTACACAACTGTGGGAGTCTACTACAGACCCTGGCATGGATCTTCAAGAACTCCTGGCGCTCTGGTGAAGTGTCCAAGGATTGGAGGAAGACCAATGTGGTACCTATCTTCAAGAAAGGGAGGAAAGTGGATCCGGCAAACTACAGGCCCATCAGCCTGACCTCTATCCCGGGGATGGTCTTAGAGAAGATTATCAAAGCTCCATGGTAGCTTTGGCCTGTCTAACTGCCTGCCTACAAGCGCAAGCAGAGGAGGTATACTCCTCTTTAGTAACCTCTCCCCGTTCCCACTTTTTATATGCCCCCCTTTTTGCCTGTAGGCTGCTCTGGATTTCTCTGGTCAACCAAGGAAGCCTCTTGGCCCCTTTCCCCCTTTTTCCCCGCATCGGGATCGTCTCCTTCTGTGCCCGAAGGATCATTTCCTTAAGGCACAGCCACCCTTCCTGGGCTCCCATCTCTTCAAAACTCCTACTCTGCAGTGCGTCCTTGACTAAACGCCTGAGTTCATTGAAATCAGCTTTCCTAAAGTCTAGCACTTTCACCCTACTAGTTACCTTATCCACTCGATGTCTTATGATGAATTCTATTATTTGGTGATCACTGTCCCCCAGGTGACCACCGATCTGTAGGTCTCCTACCATGTCATCCCCCGTTGCCAATACCAGGTCCAGTAAGGCATTCCCCCTTAATAAGGCAGACTTTCTTGTCTGCTCCCCTGTAGGTGACTTGAAACCAAGTCACAGGCACACAAAAGTGCACAGGCATGAGCATGCCTGTGCAGGGTACAGGGTATAGGGACAGCTGTGGCTTCTAATTGCTACCATACCACCAGCAGGACTGCATAGTTGCCAGTGACAGCAAGGTTTTTTACTCTCCTCACCGCAGGTTTTTTTGCCTCACCCTAGTTATGCCACTGCATTGATCCAATAAACTGAACCACTCTACAGTTCCTACACTGTATATATCTACAAGTCCCAAGTATGCCCTCAGGATAAGTCTTCTGAGGAATCTGTTTGGTATACAGGCCTTCTACCGTAGGGATTAATTTTGTCCTAGGATTGAATTGAGTCCAGTAAAACAATGGATGATTGAAAAGGCTGACCTTTAAAACTTTTTTTATTTCTTCAGCATTAATAAATAAACACAATGCATCTATGTGTAAAAACAGATTCAATAAAGAGAAAGAAAGCACACTTGGTTAGACAAACTAACTTATTGAAATACTTACCAAAAAGCTCCACTGAATTTGCAAGCATGGGATACTTCCATATCTTGATCTGATTCTTAGGGAGACCATGTCCAGTCACTAGCTCATTGGTATTGGGTAACCAGAACAGGGAGCAAATCTAGTGCCATTTAAAAGATCATTTTAGTTTTCAAAGAGGATCCACATGAATCATTCAATAGGTTTTAGAAAATGTCATTCATAAATGTCCAAAACATACACATTTCTGCAGAACAGCAGCAGAATAGTTACATATTTAGGAGGATCATTTGATTTCCTTGAATAGCAACTGAGTCTGAGTACAACTGCATCTAAACTACAGCTAAATCTTCAGCTAATGGGAACTGCATAGCTTCACTGAAATCAACAGAGCAATTCTAGTTTATACCAGCTTAGAATCTTTAGCCCTCTGCCTCCTAATATTCAGACTACAGGGATTGATCCTTGTTCATTGATTCACCACACCTCCCCACTACTCCAAGTACCTCAGGCCTCTTGGGAACTCTACTTTTCCTACATCTTTCTTTCCTCAATAGGGTGTTTACCAAAAACTGCACTGCCAATGAGAAAAGGATGATGGAGAGCAAGTAGCCTGGCTCTTACGAGATGTGAGCAGTGGGGTACCCCAGGGCTCAGTCCTCGGGCCTGCACTGTTTAACATCTTCATCAGCGACTTGGACGAGGGGGTGGAAAGCACGCTGTCCAAATTTGCTGATGACACTAAGATGTGGGGCGAGGTGGACACACTTGAAGGGAGAGAGAGGCTGCAACTAGATTTAGACAGACTACAAAAGCAGGCAGACGAGAATAGGATGGGGTTCAACATAGACAAATGCAGGGTGCTGCACCTGGGGAGAAGGAATCCACAGCATACATACAGGCTGGGGAGTTCCCTTCTTGAAAGCACAGAGGTGGAAAGGGATCTTGGAGTCATTATTGACTCCAAGATAAACATGAGCCGCCAATGCCAGACCACAGCCAGCAAGGCCAGCCATACCTTGTCATGCATCCAAAGGTGCATCTCAAGCCAGTCCAGAGAGGCGATACTCCCCCTCTATGCAACTTTGGTCAGGCCACAGTTGGAGTACTGTGTCCAGTACTGGGCATCGCACTTCAAAAGGGATGTGGCCAGCCTGGAGAGGGTTCAGAGGAGGGCCACCCGCTTGGTGAGAGGGCCGCAGGGCAGGCCCTAGGAGGAGAGA